AGAGAGAGAGGGAGGGGGAGAGGGAGAGAGGGAAAGGGATGGTCAAACCGACCCGGAGCGCCTACCGAGATGACGGAGCATTCGCGGGACACGCGCGCACACACACACACACATGTCAGAACCCAGTGGATGATGGAGAAAGGATGAGAGAGTCTTTCAAAAAAGAAAAAGAAAAAGAGAGCGGAACCTTCTTCTATGACCTTGGTAGCATGGGGATGCCAGGGATATGATCCATATCCGGTTAGAGCCCCAGCTTGAGTCCCACGACGACTGGCGAGCATTATCATCACGAGTATATACAGATTACATCCACCTGTACTCTCAAGTATTGATACGTACTGACCGGCACGACTGAACCGTACAGGACTGACTGTACAGGATATGCCGCCTCGTAACATTCTACGGCTATCACACACATGTACGACATAGCAGACGAGCACGAGGCGATAGATGCTGAGTCGTAGTGAGTGCATCGCGTACATGTGTACGGGAGTATCAGTATCGATACTAGGTAATATACGTGTTTCCGTATCATGTCGTGTCGTACGACATCCGTGTTGATCCATTCCACCATGACTCCAGATTCCAGATTCCAGGCCCGAGGTTCTCATCCCGAGGCCTAACCTCTGAATGCTGCTGGTGATGGGTCTGATCGCGTCCAATGGACAGAGCGAGCCCGAGATCGGCGCGCCGGTCCAGTCTTGAAGTAATAATAACGATGAGATCTACCCATACCCACCCTTTTTTTCCCTTCTTCTTCTTCTTCTTTTTCTTATTATTTATTATTTATTATTTTCTCCTTTTTTTGCTTTCATTTTCCCCACAGCCCCCCCCCCCCCCCCCCCCCCCCCCCCCCCCCCCCCCCCCCCTCCCCGGTCCCCGGTTTCAGCAGTTGTCAACACACACACACACACACGCACACACATACTGAATCCTGACTATGCCCATGGGTCGAATGTCGAGAGCATTTAATTAATTGCCTGATCACGACGTATATCGTACGTATGCATGTACGGATGACAAAGCCGAGAATGCGTCGGGACTCACGTGGTATCATATAACAGGGGTTCTCTCCCTTCCCGTCTCTACCGAGTCAATACTACTACTGCTCGTACACTCTCGTACGCTCGTAACCTGTACATGTTGACGTCAAGTCTTGGCCGTATTGGGATACATCATTGCACCGAGTATCATCAGTGATCGTAGTCCTGGCTCTCGCCAACCTTTGCCGAGCATGGACAGGTATCCGTACTCATGACGAACCGTCCGGCCAAGAGAGCAGAGGAGAAGAGATTACGCACTCCTAAAGACCCAGAGACCCAGGTCGCGATGGATGCAGAGGAGATGAGAAAGAGGTTGACCATACCATTTCTATGTGTTCTCGTACATTCCTCGTACCCGGTCATCCGTGCGGTAATATGAGGATTGGAAATGGGGGCCCCTCCCCGTCGAGGACACTCCGTAATGAATTGATTTTATTTCTTACGGATACCCGTCCGGTCCAATCCAATCCGGTCCCGACCTAGTCGTAACAAGGTCCCGGGTACCCGGTCGGTCGTATCTCTGCGCCTCGAAACCTGGCTGTTGACCGGGGAGGGGGGGGGGGGGGGGGGGGGGGGGGGGGGGGGGGGGGGGGGGGGGGGGGGGGG